CACACAAAAAAACATATTTTTTATATATATTATACTGATTACAGATTTGGTTAGGGATTCTGGCAAATCATGTTGAAACCTTCAGCTCAGTTCTTTCTCCTCGTCTCTCTTCCAGGTGAAAAACCATTCGAGTGTCGGCTGTGTGGCCAGCGTTCACGTGACTATTCAGCTATGATCAAGCACCTGCGTACTCACGGCGGCGCCACTCCTTACCAGTGCACCCTGTGTCTGGAGTTCTGTAGCAGCCTGGCAGCCATGCAGAAACACCTGAAGAATCACCCCACGCAGGACTTCCCTCCAGACTGGAACCTGAGCAGCACGTACCTGTACAACTGCCACACCTGAGCCCTGCACGATAAAGCATGTAGATATGGAACATTTTATACAGATTTGATATTTTGAATACTTTTATTAATCTATTTTGAAGCCATTACTAATATGATAATATATTTAATATACATACAAAGGACATTTATGCCAGTTGATTTTTGTTTTCGTTGAAGACGTCTAGTTGGGTGAACACCTCACTCACCAATTAAGATTAAGTAGACTGTAATTTGCCAATGCTTATAACTTTCTCTGTGAAATATCATCACAATAGCATAAAAAATATTTGTTTGTTTATTTATTGCGCTGGTCAAATCTGTACCATTTATATAAGCACTCACTATGTGATCTATTTACACACTGTATACAATATTTTAATAAAAGCATTATGGTCAAAATGGTCAGTGTCTGTTTTAATGTAGAAAAATGCAGCATACAGAACAGCAAGTAGCTTCAGTATGTGACAGCATATTCTGTATAAATGGATTTAAGGCAGTAAGTGTACAGATATGTATTTATGTCTTTGACAAAACATTTCCATTTACAGCAATTATGACAGAAGGTTTTAAGATTAAAAGCTATGTAGTAAAGTAACAATAAGACAGAATAGACATTTTGAATGGCCATCAATGGTGAAAAGATGCTTAAGGGTGTAGTTCTGCCATCTATCAGCAGAGGCTGCCATGCAGGTCAAATAACACAAGGAGGAAAGTTCTCATCTTTCTCAGTCTGGAAAAAACGGTCGTGTGATGATTTGCGGGAAGTATAATGACTCTGGGGTTTAATGTGTGATGCAATCAGATGCTTAAACATTACAACTTTTGTTGATTTTGATTGCTTCCATTGTCCTCATTTGCCAGTCGCTTTGGATAAAAGCATCTGCTAAATGACTGTGTAATATGTAAATGTGCAACACGGCATTGATGCTTAATTGTAGTTTACTGAACCTCTGTACATCAAGAATAACCAAAGATTTTTGCAACAGAATGGCAAACATACCCTAACTTGAGCAATTATACATCAACAATATGGAGATATTCTTTCAAGGGTAATAAAATGGACTGGAACAATTGTTTTCGTGTAAAATACATGTGTTGCTTTTGTATTAGACAGTGCACATACATACATACATACATACTGTACATACATACGTACGTACATACGTGTGTGTGTGTGTGTACTGGTTTATATATTCTGGTGGGGACTTAAACTAGACTACACACAGACTCATGGGGACTCGTGTCACGGTGGGGACCTAAATTGTGGTCCCCACAGGTACAAAAGCTTATAAATCAAACAGAATTAAGTTTTTTGAAAATCTAAAAATGCAGAAAGTTTCCTGTGAGGGGTAGGTTTAGGGGTAGGGTTGGTGTAGGGCAATAGAATATACGGTCTGTACAGTAGAAAAACCATTACGCCTATGGAGAGTCCCCATAAGGATAGCTGACCAGACTGTGTGTGTGTTGGGGGGGGGGGCTTCTTCCACGTTATTATCATATGACAGGCTCCTACTCCAACTTGTTTCAGACTATGATTCCATAAAGTCGGAGGATATTAAACATTTTCGATATTTTGAGCTGATTGACATTGTTTTCAATTTGTCATGCCTCTCCTGACAAGGTTTCGTGTATCTTTAGTGTACGGTTTCGTTTAATTTACGACGTTCCGTCATTTACAAAGTTTTCAAATGTGTTATGTTTTGAAATCTGTTCCGATTCTAAATGTTGCTTATTCCAAAAGACGCCGTTACCAGTTGCGAGGGAGGAGGGGGAAACAAACTTCTGCTCGCGCACTCTCAAAAAGTACATAACATAACTGATCCAGTCTCTATATTCAAAATTCTTTAGGCTACTTAAGATTTTTGGAAAATGCCTAAAGAGAACATATATGGGAACAATACTTCCGGAACCTGAACCACTGAGAAAGGGGGCCGTCTTTATCGCACTCGATCCTCCTGGATGTTGGGGATAGTGAATGTGTGTGCTCCTGTTGGTTTCACAATGTCGTCTTGGTCGTCCCCACCAGATTTCCAGTTAACGCTGCCTTTCAGAGATTCCTAGAGCTCCAGTCCCACTTGCAGGGTCTGTAGGTGATGCTGCACGGCGGAAGAGGCACCGGATACGTGCTGTGGAAGCGTCTCAGGTCGACTCGAAACGCCCCTTTCTCCAGTATCATGCACAGCTCAAAACTGGCTCCCCGTTAGATCTCTGTCTCGATGTAGGAGGTCTTTGCTTGGCACATCATTCCTGTCAAAACAAAGTTGTCAAACGATCTGAGAAAGCATCATGTCTTGTTATAGTAAGCTAACTTTAACCTTGACCACAAGATGGCGCTGTGGTGTAACAAATCGCATTCGTACGGTGACCGAGAAGTGCAAAGCAAATCACAATTCTGAAAACAAAATAACAAATTACAAACGCAAATGCAAGTCTAAAAACCAGAAAGCACAACAACAATTCAGAAAACATTATAACAAGTCAGAAAACACAATGACAAATCCGAAAACAAATGAAGAAGTCAGAAAACAACGACAAATCAGACAAACCGGAAAAGGTAGGTATAGTTTGAGACAGCGCCATTGGTTTGGGATTACTCACCACTGACTGGACGAGACATCTGTCAATCAACGTATACAGAGAAGAACCAGCCGAAGAACAGCAGAGTCGTGGTAGAAAGTTCAGAGATGGTATTAAAGTAGCTCAGTTTAAATATATTGTATGAATTGCCCTTACTATGGAATAAAAAATACGGAGTGTATATTTACATTTAGTTCAATGTAGCTGTAAATCATCAGCTCCAGTGGCGCAGATGGATAAAGGAGGGTCGTTGGCTTTTTGACTAACTTTTTTTTTCTCCCTTTTCAAATCTCATATCACATCGTAAAGGCATTTATTTTCAATAAAAATTAAGGAAATAATCAAAAAGTTGAAAATAAAGTATCGGGTAGGGTTAGGGTAGGTGTAGGGAGGACTTTATTGTACTAATAAGGTGGCATCCATTTAATAATTAAAATTTACACTCGTTATAAAACAGTTATTATTGCATACTGTTTAATACTGTACTACAGTACTGAAGTGCAGATAATTGCCACTATTTGCAACAAGTAGTATACTTGATAGTAGAAATCCTGCTATTTTAACATAGTGTAAATAGGTATTTGCACTTAGTGTAAATAGCATATTGCTAAAAATACTGCTATTTTCACTTAGTGTAAATAGAATCCATTGCTAATACGAGATTTGAAAAGGGAGAAAAAAAAAGTTTGGCAAAAGGCGGGATCGAACCCGGGTCGATCGCATCAAAAAGCCAAAGGGCACGCACTCATCCATCTGCGCCACCGGAGCTGATGATTTACAGTTACTTTGAACTAAATCTAAATAGACACCCCGGATTTTTTATTCCATAGTAAGGGCAATTCATACAATACATTTAAACTGAGCTACTTTAATACCATCTCCAACCTTTTTACCCCGACTCTGCTGTTCTTCTGCTGGTTCTTCCTGTATACGTTGATTGACAGATGTCTCGTCCAGTCAGCGGTGAGCAATCCCAAACCAATGGCGCTGTCTCAAACTATACCTACCTCTTCCGGTTTGTCTGAATTGTCATTGTGTTTTCTGACTTGTTATAATGTTTTCTGAATTGTTGTTGTGCTTTCTGAATTATTTTGTTTTTCAGACTTGCATTTGCGTTTGTAATTTGTTATTTTGTTTTCAGAATTGTGATTTGCTTTGCACTTCTCGGTCACCGTACATTGGTCTAAAACTGACGCTGTTTCTCCACATTAGTTTCAATCGGTGTGTAATTCTATAATGTATGAGAATCTCACGAAAACATGTCCAGGTTATTTTATTTTATTTGATTGTGTTTGTTTGTTTGTTTGTTTGTGTGTATGTGTGTATATATATATATATATATATATATATATATATATATACACACACACACACACACACAGTATCTCACAGAAGTGAGTCATTCTCGAGACGTGGGACAAAACAGGTCCAGCAAGGGTAACTGCTAATAGTAGTTTTAGTTTGAGAATATTTTAAATCCTAATGTTAATATTTCCTTGATATGTCAACATTATTTGAAATATTTAGATAATTGTATTCTCCTGAAGCAGGTTGCATTAACATCTAGCATCAACAGAAACAAAATAAAATGGCTACTACATGAACATTGGTTTTGTGAAAGAAATGCCAAATTTGTCAACACCGTCAGATGTCACCACCATAAGATCTTGTGTTCCAGTGATATATCAAAATACTTAATGTGACTTGAATAAAAGCTTTATAAACAATAACATACTCCCTGTTTGTTATAATACAGTAATTGACTGATTCAATGTATTTGGTAGTTAAAATGACTACAAATTCAAGTTTTCGTCACCTCCGTCAGTTCTGTCACCTCCGTCAGTTGAATATTTTGATAATATTTCATTATGATATTTTATATTTGTTGTGGAATTGTCGGTCACATGTGAAAGTGTAATCCGTCTGCTAACACCAGAATGTGTTTTGAAATGTTAAAAAACATCTTGAATGCTGTTAAGATAAAGCTGAAATTATATTACACAGTCCAAGCTAAAAAAAAAAAAAAAGCACATTTTTGAACCTAAAGTCTCTACTCCAAAGTCCGTTTGAGAAGAGAACTTTGGCTGGGAAAAAACTGGCATTTAAATGTTGGTTTTATTCACAAAACTATAACAGCACGTGATATTGAAATGTCAACGAATACATCAATCAATGTAAAGTAAATACGCTCTTCTATCTTAACTTCAAACATGTGGATGTTGGTTTTATTCACAGAACTATTGCACAACAAAAGTTATTGAAATGGAACGATTGAGAAAAAGCTTGCGAGGCATTACAAAGATCGTGCAGTTTACCGCCCCTTAGAGGAAGATATTGCACTTGTTTTGACCACGTTTGACATTCAGAAATTTAAATAAAGTAAATACGCTCTTCTATCTTAACTTCAAACATGTGGATGTTGGTTTTATTCACAGAACTATAAGACAACACATGATATTAAAATGTGAACAAATTCATCAATTCATTCCCTATTAATGTACTCTTCTATCTCAGTTTCTAAGGGTGTCTCTTGATACTTGTTCCTAAAAGAATATTTCAATGTTGATATTATTCACATAACTAACTGCATTGCAGTAATTCATATTGCAACGCTTGCTGTAATTGTTTGATGTGCCACAGCCCCACCTCATTTTTTTCACCAGCCGCCACTGGTAACTACTGTGTCTTAAATGTATGCATAAAGGTTTAACTATGACCTATGTAGTCACTGCTAAATTTACAACCCACCCAACTCCTTCCCTTCAACTCACAGCTGGTTGCGTCCACACAGTCAGTCTCTCAGTGCAGCCACGTCAAGGACTACACCAAATCCGCCTCGATGACTTCAGCGAGGTGTATAGAAGGGACATTCTTTCATCGTTCTCTGTACAAATGTCAGCGATGTGAGACTAAATATGAAATCATAAAAGGTCAGTTTTAAATTCTGTGTTCGATAAATCACCTCTTAGTCCATGTAGGCTACTTGAATGCGAATTACAGGGCGAATTCAAATAAATTGGGACACTTTTTTTGGCATTGAAATGACTGGGAAAACCGTCACAATTAATTCTAAAGGTAATTTTCAAAGGTGTCATTTCGTACAAAAAATGGGTTTGACCAAACTGATCGCCACTGTGTTTTATTCCTCAAGTGAAGAACTGCAACCAAACAGCGTTGTATATTTATTAATATTACTCATGTAGCCTCATCTCAATTTGCACAACTGTTACTGCTGCTATTGTTATCATGTACTTGCACATGCACTATTGTTTTTATAGTTAATACTGTACATTCGCATATGTAGATGCCATACACATAGTCTATATTTCTATTTTCACATTCTATATTTCTACTCTATACTCGCATATATAGATACACAGTCTATATTTCCATTTTTTTTTTCATAGTCTATATTCCTACTACTGCAGCATAGTTTTTATCATTATGTTTCTTACATTGTATGTGTATAGTTTGTGTATAGCGTTGCACAGTCTTGGCATTCATTGTGGACAGCAAAGTAAGAATTTCATTGTTCAGGGAAACTTGTTTTCCTCACTGGGCATATGACAATAAACGCTTTGAATCCTGAATCCTATAGCCTACTGGTAAAGCAAAATGCACGCTTACAAGTCATTGTTCTGTTCTGAGGGCAGGATACGAATTTACTGACAACTGCGGGTGGTCCGACGAGCAACAGCAGATCGAGTCGCCTTACAGACCCTGCGGAAATGAGACATTTAACGATGGATCTCAAGTCGTATGCCAAAACTGTCGCTCTTGCCCACCGCCACAGTTTACTGCGTCTGAGTGCAAAAAGACGTCGGATACCATCTGCTGTAAACAAGGGTACGTCTAACTTCAAAATCTTTTGTACTACTATTATTTTTTTTTTAAGAGTAATTTCGTAATGAATGCATTGCTAATTTAAGTTCTGAAAATCGAAAGCCAGTCCGAATGAGCGGTTTGCGTTTATTCAATTTGATTGAACAGCCTATACGACACACCCTTTATATATAAAAAAGTGAGCTTTAAATCTTGTTGGTCTCTTTTATGCCCATGTATGGATATTATTGGAAATGTTACTTGATATTTTTTTG